TAAAACCTGATGATTTTGGATATGCAGCTCAGTTGTGCTTCGAGCAGCTTGTTGACAACAATTAGTTTTCTGCTTCTTACCCTATACATATGGTATTACATAAAGACAAGTTAATGAACTAAAATAGTACAATAATTATAATTTACAAAAGAAAACAAATATCAAAGTCAACCTGTGGTTTTGATTGAGCTTTATGACTTTTTCGACTCTCTAATGCACCTTTGATCCTCCCTTTGGGTCGCCCTACTGTTGCTTTTGTTTTAACTCCAGCTACAACTCGCTGGTCCTCTTCGTGATTAGAGCACAATTCCTCATGAGAAGTTCCAACATTTGAACATTTTCTCATTCCCTGCAAATCCTTCAGCAAGTTTGAAAAAACTGCACTTGCATGCTCATACATTGTGTCATTCTCAGCTGCCAGTGTAGATATCTCTCGAAAATTATAATGTAGATTGCAGTAACGCTTCCCAATAAGTTTCTCAGAACTTCCCTGCACACGAACTGAACTCCTCAGGTCTCCATCTTTAGCATCCTTTGTCCATCTCTTCAATATATACCGTTTTGGGATTTGCTTTATATTTTTCTTGTCTAGAACCTTCAAAGCATGAGCACATAGAATCCCCACAAACTCAAACTTCTTGCAACTGCAATCAACTGCTTGAGACAAAAACTCAAACCGGACAAAGTGCTCCGTGCCTCTACCTGCATATCTCACTTTATATTCTACCTGGACTTCGGTTTTGTTGATCTTATCAATAGTACAATCCCAAACTTTGACAAACTCTTGTTGGAACATTTTAAACACTTTAGGAGTATACACCTCTGAAGCATGTCTTAACATCTCAACATCTGCTTGTAACCCTGGGCTGGTGTCCCTCATTTTGAACTCTGCAAGTAGTTCATTATACCTTCTATCTTCTACCAACCGAGCATAATGATCAAAAAAGTATGTCATATTGTGTTTTGGCTTCAAATACTTCTTCAACACATTATTCATAGATTCACTGCGTTGAGTACTCTTCATGTCAGCTGTAAACATATGACGTCCATATACCATAGCCCATTTTTCTCTCATTGAGAATATCCCATGCAATCATTCACTATTTCTCAAATTATACTTGGTAAGCATATCATCCCATCCTTTATACCATTCCTCTTCCTCTTCATAGTCATATACACATGCACTAAAATCCTTAGCAAATTGGTCGGATGCATTGAACACATGACTCAAGTGTTTAGCAGCATTTTGATAAATATGCCAGATGCATAAACGATGATGGGTTTCAGTAAATACCTCTTCAATTGCTTTGGCCATAGCAGCTGATTGATCTGTTAATATGGTTTTGGGTTGATTTCCAGCCATTGCAGTCAAGAATGCTTCAAACAACCACTTGAAAGATGTGATTGTCTCATCATAAAGTAATGCTGCTCCGAAGATTATTGTCTGCTTCAGGTGATTTACTCCGACAAATGGAGCAAAAGGCCGACCATATTCATTGGTTCTGTAAGTTGTATCAAAACATACAACATCACCAAAGTACTTGTAATCGATTATTGACCTGCCATCTGCCCAAAACATATTCATAATAAGATCATCATCATCAAGTTGCACCAAGTAAAAGAATGATGGGTCCTCTACTTGTGCCATACGAAAATAATCCATGATTGCCTGACCATCTCCTTTAATCATTGTAGCCTTTCTTTTTGTACCAATATAGTTTTGGTAGTCTTTATCCAGAAAACCATTGTGCTCACGGCCTCCATTCTGCACTGCTAGTAAATCAATAGTTTTCTTGATTGATAATCCAGCTTTCTCAGCATCATCTGCAATAGCTTTCTGAGCATAACTTATCTTCCTATTTGACCTCAACATATGCTTCATCGGAGTGGGGGCAAGATCATGGTTATGATTTTCTTCAACTTTGACAATCTCCAGCATTCCATCATTTTTTAACTGGCAGGTCATACGTGCTAAGCAACCTACTCTTGAAATTGGGCGTTCATAGGCTACGTGCTCACGCCTTTTATCAAAACCTTTTTTCCCTTGTTTTGAACAAGAATACGTTCTTCGCTTCACTTGGCCTTCTTTTGTTCGCTTGACCTGATGCTTCTTTACGCTGAAACCAATACTATGTGCATATGTCTTGTAAAATTCATAAGCATTATCATCACCATCAAACTTCATACCTATGCATGGTACTTCAATCTTTTCATTAATCTGATTTGTGTGCTTTTTCAAAGTTTCTTTGGGAGTCCTAACATCTGTTCATGAGAAAAATTACATGAGATAAAGAAATAAAGTCATATTAATCTACTTACAAAAAGTCATCGTTAATCATGAGACTAGAAAATTCAAACAGTAAACACAAGACTCAATGCACGTGTATCACAAAAGGTGAAAACTTGGCAGCAATACTGATAATTTAGCCAAACCATTCATAGAAGACAAATTACATAACAGACAAAAGAAAAAGACAAGCATGATAAAACACTCACCTTTCATAAACGATGGATAAAGGAAAAGAACAAAAATGGCTTAATACCCACTTTGGTTTATGTCCATCCAAAATTTTCTATCGGAAAAAACAATTTATAAAAGAAACAAAGTTAACCTGAGTTGGGAGAAGACATGTCCAATGCAGCAGTAGATGAAGAAAAAAGAGCAGCTACACGCCTACACCTGCTTGAATTTTCGTGCGGTTGCGCTTTCTGAAAGCTCCGTTATAGGAGAAAAGTAAACCTAAATAAATTCTCTACCGTTTGTGGGAAGGCTCCGTTACCTCTCTCTCGTCACACTTTTCTAATTCCGTTACCTCTCTCCTAAATACAAGTCATTCCAACCGCATTTAATAATTAAAAGTAAAAAGAAATTCGTAACCAATAATTGCCAGCCATGTGGAAGGGTAGCAGCTACGGGCTGCATCCTGGGATGCTGCCAAGATTTTTCCGTCATCAATTGCCCAACCCACTATCAATCATATGCAATAGGTCCATGTTTATCCACTTTGTTTGAACAAGGGTTTTTATATAATTTGTGAATTTTTTTAGTTATTATAAAATATAGATTTATGATCTGGTAATCGATCAATGATATTTGTGTAAGTTAAGGGTGCTACTTTCCTGACGAAATTGGTTTGTTTCAATATTCTATTATCTCCTTTTGATTGGTTTGAAAGAAATTCTTTTAGGTCAATAAAGTTTGTACAACACCTTTGTCCATACCTGTTATTTCAGAGTTTCATCTTCGGTTTAAACACTACGGCAAGAAGGATTATGTAAAAGCCATTCAATAAATAAAGAGACGGTCGAAATAGGCATGCCTAAAAAATACATATAAATAGACCATCCGTTGAGAAAAAATCGATTTAAATTACCGAATGAAAATAATATAAATTAATCCGGCCAACCGGCCGGATTCAAACTAGTAATAATAATAACAATAGATGGCGTTAAGCGCCAGATGCATTAATGCATCAACAGAACGCTAAAGGAAAAAGAAGAACAGGGAAGCAAGGTTCCTGTTTGAGCCACGAAACCCCCTCCGCTATCCGGGCGTTTCCCTCCAACAGGCGTCAACCTACAAACACAAAGAGGAGGGCGCCTTGGCCCGTTAATCCTCCGACGCCCAAGTTAGTCTCAGTGAGAGAGTCGAGTTCTCTATTAATGCTATGAAATGAGAGAGTCCAACCTGCATAAATGCTATCGGTTGCCCTTATTTATACTCACCGAACCCGAGGTTGATCTCCGCCACGTCACCACTCTCATTTAATGCTCTGTGCCCCCTCTGTGAGACAGCTAACCGCCTTGTCAGGCTCCTGACACATGACAGGCACCTGACACATGACAGGCGCCCGCTGGCAGTGGTCCTCTGGACAGCTGGCCACTATTTGGTTTTTAGTGTTATATTCTTTGGGCTTTCCCCTTTCTTTTTGGCCCCAAGGACTTCTGGTGGATCCCTTTCCTTTGGCTTTGCCCCCTGACTCGCTAAAACACAACACCTAACAATGGCCAAGTGTAACCAATGAAAGGGACTGCAGTATAGTGGCTCAAGTAATAAATATCGAATCCACGGGTCTCTAGAGTTACTATTACTCAGCTTCAGTTCGTTATCTAGCAAAACAGATTAAGTTGAAAGAACTAAAACTACTCTAGCAAACTACAGTTAAAGTTAATCTAATTACAGGTTGGGAACTCACTTAGGTATGATTCCCCCTAGCCACTAGCCAGATTAACGATCGATGATTTCTAACTTGTTTCACTTCATTCACAATGCGGAGAATCCTTGACTAGACCTTGAGTCTCGACTAAAGGAACAAGGCCCTCTTGAGTCAATTGCCTAGAGGGACGTATCCTTCTCTAGAACAATCGATCAAGGCGTTCTGAACTAGACTCCCTCTATCGAATGAGGTTCTCAATCGATACAAAGCAGTGAATCAACCCTCGACTAAAGCAATCGATCCACTACTATCAATCTATGGTGCTCTATTGACCTAATCAGGTATTCGCTCTCATAGGATCAAAGCAGAATCAATAATCTCGACTAAAGCAGAATTGAATCATGAAAACATGCATAGATTGAATATGAACTCAAGATTATCAAGTCAGAGTACTCATACAATCATCCAATCAAACAAACATAGCTAGGGTTCCTCAAAACCTAAGTGAAGGGAAGTTACTCCATAGAGAAGAGAGAGACTGCAGTAAGAATCTTCAGATGATCAGTCTTCAAGTCCGGGCTTGTTCCTCGAGCTTCCAAGGCGAAGAAATCCTCCAATTCCACTCCGAGAATGCCCTCAAATCGCCCTCTCTTTCTTTGGTTCGTCCCTTGGGTGTTTGGGATCCAAAACCCAGCTCTCCTCTGCAGAAACGCACAAAACCGGCTTTTATCAGCTGCCCTCGCGATACCCGGTCGAAATACCCGGTCGGGTATTTTGGGTCTCGACCGGGTATAATTGAAGCGCACCGTTTCGTCCTCAGGGAAAATCCCCGGTCTACCACCAAAATCCCCGACCGGGGATTTAACTGATGTGCCCGGGCCCCTCTCTGTTTCTCGGGCGCCCAACCTTGGTTAATACCCGGTCGGGTATTTGGCCACCTGACCGGGTATTTTGCTCCTTCAGCCCTATTCGTCCCAAACTTGCTCCTTTCGACCCAGAACTCGTTTCTCCGCCTCGATTCCAACGCCGGGACCTGAAATATGACATAAACACACAACCTAGCGTGAAATCGGCTTAAAACACGAGATTCCACATCACAAACGGCTTCAGAATAGGGGTGAAAACATGTGTAATTATCGGTCTATCAAACTCCCCCACACTTAACCGTTTGCTTGTCCCCAAGCAAACCTAACTCAAACCAATGCAGCTCTCCAGACCTCTATAGCAACAAACACCCCAGATCGTAGGTAGAGGACTTCCTAGATCATTTAGCAACTTACGAGGTCAACTGGTCTTCTAAGACGTTCCCTATCTCTCTCAATGCGAGTACTAGACTCAAGCCAGGATCATGAGAAAAAGTAGAAGTAAGACAGTCAGTTCATGGATAAAGGGACTCACACCATTCACAACCAAGGACTCGTTGTACCGGGGTGCTCTTTCACTTCATTTCACCGTTGGAACCCCTTTTTCACTTTCATTTTACTTACTTTTTTTTCCTTTTTATTCACTTGGCGGGGGTTCCAACTGCAGTCTTTTGCACGGTCGACCCTTATTAGTCGAGCAAGAGCAATTTCTGTACATCTGGCGCTCGCCAGAGTACTTCTTTTAACTCCTTTTCCTCAACTCGTGTGGAGGGTCAATGAAATTAAGGGGGGTCGGAAGCTCTATCCGTGCCCTTAAAAACACATCCTCGAGTAGGCAAACCGTTCAACGGGTGGAAGTTTTACTTGTACTAGAGACAGCTTAGCTTCACCTTGTAGGAGTACCCCACTAAGGATCACTAAAATCCCTTCCAAAACCCGATTTTGTGCAATGAACGGTGCCACACACGTTGGGCTTTCCCCATGTTTAAGATTTAATGATTTTGACATGGAGGACCAACTGCTTCCCATTTTACATATGAGCACCCTGTTCGATACACAAGTCCATAACACAATCCAAATAGAGTCACCATTACCACATGAATTCAACGGTCTTAGCTCCACTAATTCACAAAATCAACTGACACAGCAGAGAGCTAGATAGGAAAAATCTTATACTTCAACATCCTCCATAGTGCTACACTACCTCCCTAGGTTGCACATTACTACAGAGACTGTCAATTCAAAGCATACTGAGCAGGAAATTTGCAAGGAAACACGTACTTGGAGCCCTCAAATTTAAAATTTGGACAGTGGACTAGGCTCCAAGCACACAAACAGCCAAACATTCACCCGCATACATAATCGAACACCCCCCCACACTTAAGCACGACATTGTCCTCAATGGAGGAAAGATAAGGAGGGTAGAACGAAGTTACCAGATCAAGGGTGAATGATGGTGGACGGGGCAGGCGGTGCATTCCAGGAAGAGAGAGTAATCAGAACACAAACACCACACAAAATCTCACAAAGGTTGAGTTATTGACTCTAAAATCAAATAACAAAACTGACTCAACCGAGGTTAAATAGAGAAAGAAATGCAAACCGACTGGTTGGGTTGCCTCCCAACAAGCGCTTCTTTCACGTCGTGAGCCGGACGATGGCTCCTAAGTTTCGGTCCATGCTAGAACCTCCTTGAAGTTGAGGTTCTCGTCGATAAGGTGGAGTCTCAAGTCACGAACATGTGGTATGACAGGTGATGGAAGCTCGTGCACTTGATGCGGATGAAGTCTCCACCCTCGAGACCTCTTCTTCTCTTCTCTCGTCTCATTGCCCCAAACTAGATATGACAGCATCGATTGACCACCATCGCGTCCACCAAGAGGGACCGATGTCGAAGTGGCCTTGGTCTGGCAAAGAGACACTGCAAATGGGTCCTTGCTAAGTAGTTCCTCAAAGTTTGGTGGAGATATCACATGCAACTCATGGCCGATGCAGGCCTCTTCCACCTCAACTTCGCCCTCAGCCTGGACGCCAATTGCTTCTTCAACCTCCCTTTCTTCTTCATGTGGTATCACCCCTGGGAAATGATCAAGAACTACTCCTGCTTCGCTTTCGTCATCCTCCACAACCTCTTTCTGCACCCTTTCTTGCTCTTCTTCTTCTAGCACGGATTGGAGAGCAAGTTGCCAGGCAATTTCTTTCATGAGATCTTCTTGCATCTCCTCACTCATGCCCACCTCTTCAAAGCGCAGTGTGGGATGTGGGAAAGGGTGGTCGGCTACGACAGGACATTCCTGATCATGATCATCACGGGAGCTCTCCGTGACAACTTCTGTGTGCTCCACAATGTCCTTGTAGCCTTCTTCTTCCTCGTCCTCTTCTTGTATGGTAGCAGAAGGGTGATCTTGAGCAAGTTGTGCACAAACTTGCTCAACCCACTCTGTTTGCTTCGCTGAGCGTTGAACAGCCTCCTCCATATCACGGAGATATGAGGGATCGGAAGAGGGGAGGGCTTGGATGTGAAGATCCATTCTGCGATTGCGTCTCTCGGAGTCCCGAACAAACTGCTCCAGGAGAAGCTTCAGTTCATAGTTTGGATCTGGCTGCGGAGTGTAGCATGGCTCTGCAGAATGGCCCGTGAAGGCCGCCATGGGTAACTCCAACGCTGATGGCCCTTCTGGTTGTGGGAGAAAGTCTTCTTGGTAATGAGATTGTTCTTGATATGCCCAGGGGTCAGATTGTTCTCCATAGAAAGGGGGTTGGTACTGGAACCCGGATCCATAGTCTTCTCCTCCTTGATTGCTCCAGGGTGTCTCGGGGTAATACCACTCGGATGGTGGTGGATACCCCCAATGGTTGGAGAAGCCATGAGGATCCATGATTCAGATCTGCACCAACAAAAACAAAAACACCCAAGTGAAAAGCAAGGGTGGAAAACAAAAGAAACACGCTAAAGTAACAAACTTCTGCCTTTCCTAATAATCTAGAAAGTCCCCGGCAACGGCGCCAAAAACTTGACTCGCTAAAACACAACACCTAACAATGGCCAAGTGTAACCAATGAAAGGGACTGCAGTATAGTGGCTCAAGTAATAAATATCGAATCCACGGGTCTCTAGAGTTACTATTACTCAGCTTCAGTTCGTTATCTAGCAAAACAGATTAAGTTGAAAGAACTAAAACTACTCTAGCAAACTACAGTTAAAGTTAATCTAATTACAGGTTGGGAACTCACTTAGGTATGATTCCCCCTAGCCACTAGCCAGATTAACGATCGATGATTTCTAACTTGTTTCACTTCATTCACAATGCGGAGAATCCTTGACTAGACCTTGAGTCTCGACTAAAGGAACAAGGCCCTCTTGAGTCAATTGCCTAGAGGGACGTATCCTTCTCTAGAACAATCGATCAAGGCGTTCTGAACTAGACTCCCTCTATCGAATGAGGTTCTCAATCGATACAAAGCAGTGAATCAACCCTCGACTAAAGCAATCGATCCACTACTATCAATCTATGGTGCTCTATTGACCTAATCAGGTATTCGCTCTCATAGGATCAAAGCAGAATCAATAATCTCGACTAAAGCAGAATTGAATCATGAAAACATGCATAGATTGAATATGAACTCAAGATTATCAAGTCAGAGTACTCATACAATCATCCAATCAAACAAACATAGCTAGGGTTCCTCAAAACCTAAGTGAAGGGAAGTTACTCCATAGAGAAGAGAGAGACTGCAGTAAGAATCTTCAGATGATCAGTCTTCAAGTCCGGGCTTGTTCCTCGAGCTTCCAAGGCGAAGAAATCCTCCAATTCCACTCCGAGAATGCCCTCAAATCGCCCTCTCTTTCTTTGGTTCGTCCCTTGGGTGTTTGGGATCCAAAACCCAGCTCTCCTCTGCAGAAACGCACAAAACCGGCTTTTATCAGCTGCCCTCGCGATACCCGGTCGAAATACCCGGTCGGGTATTTTGGGTCTCGACCGGGTATAATTGAAGCGCACCGTTTCGTCCTCAGGGAAAATCCCCGGTCTACCACCAAAATCCCCGACCGGGGATTTAACTGATGTGCCCGGGCCCCTCTCTGTTTCTCGGGCGCCCAACCTTGGTTAATACCCGGTCGGGTATTTGGCCACCTGACCGGGTATTTTGCTCCTTCAGCCCTATTCGTCCCAAACTTGCTCCTTTCGACCCAGAACTCGTTTCTCCGCCTCGATTCCAACGCCGGGACCTGAAATATGACATAAACACACAACCTAGCGTGAAATCGGCTTAAAACACGAGATTCCACATCACAAACGGCTTCAGAATAGGGGTGAAAACATGTGTAATTATCGGTCTATCACCCCCCAATCTCTTAATCTTGGAGGCCCAAGCTATACCCCCAACAATTGCCCCCCCAGTTAGGTGCTCGTGGTTTCACCATTGAGCGCCTAGCTGACTCCGTCGTCGCAGTTTTGGTGTTTCTCATGTCTTGAGGCGTCCATGTTGCGTCTCGATCCTCTTTTTCGGGTCGGGGGCGCTGTTGTCCATCCCTTCCATTAGTAGGCGTCCTGCTCCCAACGATGCCCTTCTACTACGCGTATTTCTTTTTCACGTTTCGTGGGCGCCTTTTGATCGCCTTCTCCTTTCGGGCGTCGCGTATTTGAGTATGCTCTTTGCGGTGTTCGCTTCATCTTTGTACCTTGCGGACGCCTCTTCATGGCATGCTTCGTACGGGCGTTCCTAGCCCTTATGCCCCCCTCACGGGGGGAGTTTTGATGTGAGCCCCACGTTTCGCTTGGCGGGAAAATTCGAAATTTCGAATATGGAGGTTGGAAAATTCGAAATGAGAAATTTCGAAAATTCGGGGGAAGGAAAGGTGGGGGGAGCTCAAAAGTCCGCCCGTGATGCTGCCACGTGGCACGTCAGCGTGACCCCAGACGCGGACCCTCGCCTCTTATAAATACCCCCCTCTCCCCTAGTTCCTGTCACTTTCTTCCCTTTGACTTCTCTCTAAGATTTCGCTCTGACCTCTCTCTAGTCTCTGCTCTGTCCTCTCTCTTGTCAGGCTTTGCTTGCGTCACCTCCTTCCCCTGCAGTCGTCCAAAATGTCGACCTCACCCCACGACAAATCTGCTGGACAAGGCGCCCAAGGCGCAGGCGCCTCCGGCGCAGGTGGCGGCACAAGCCGTCCGGTTCAACGCGGTGAGTGTTCCTTTTGCCCTCGTTAATTCCTTTTGAGTTTATTCTAGTCACCTAGGGTAGGGGCGTCACTTACCCCGTGTCCGCGTTGCGTCTGGGTCGTTTGTTGGTTTAGAGAGGGCGCCTGCTTCAGCATCTGGGGGACCGTCATCGTCGGCCGGGCCATCGAGTTCTTCGGCGCCTGGATTTTTGCCAGCCGACGGGTCCTACAAGATTACATCATGGGAGAAGTGTTTTCCTCCTGATCATCTGCCTGTCGAGACGTCGCATCTATCCTTCGAGGTGGCCGGGCCGCTGCACACGTCCACAGTCACTTTGGACCGTGTTCACGAGTTGGTGACCAGCCTCCAACTTCCCAGGGACTGGTGGTATGCGCCCCCATCGCCTCTGTCTCGTGTGGGCGTCTGTGGCCCGAAGTGGATCGGGATATACCAAGAATATTTCCGCTTCGGGCTGCAGTTTCCCCTTGACTCAATCATGGAGGGGATCCTGACAACTTGCGCCTGCCCCCTCGGGCGCCTCTCTCCCTCGGTCATCACGGTCGTCATCTTGTTCAAGTTGAGGTGTCGGGAGCACAATGTGGAGCCTACGTTCAACTTGTTCAGATACTTCTTCAAAATGGTGCCCCTTGACAATTGCCTCTCCCTCCAGAAACGAAAGAAGCGCCCCTACCATTTTGTGAAGAAATGTCCTAAGTTGAACCGAAGCTGGTTCAACGGGTTTTTCTTTGTGAAGGCCTATCAGGACTCCTTTTTTGCGAGTGGAGGCGCCTTTATTAGGAGATGGGAGTTGGGTTACGTCGAGGATTTTAATAAGCCGGTGGTTTTGACGGCGTCTGAAAAGGCTGGTGCTCCCTTAATTTGCGAGGGGGAGCCTGTTGACTTACGCCCCGCAGATAATCGCCCGCCTATTATTCAGGCGTATTATAACGATGGTGTGTAGGCGTCTAGGTGTTCTTTTTCTTTACTCCTTTACTTGGATTGTTGCCTAACTCATTTGTAACTTATGCAGGGGCGGATTATTCAAGCATCGCCAAGCTGATGAAGAGTCGGCTGGCGGCTATGGCGGCGGAGGCGGCCGCGGCGGCGGGTTCACAACAGGAGACGCCCGCTCACCAAGAGGCGCCCGAACAAGAGGAGGCGCCTGTTACTCAATCAAGGGCGCCCACGGTAGGCCCCAAGAAGAGGAAGAAGAGGGCGGTGAAGGGTGGCACCGCTCGGGCGCACACAGCGAGCGTGGCGTCGTCCGCGCCGGAAGAAGGCGATGGGGCGCCTAATGCCGACCCCGCGGAGAAGGAGGTTAACTCCGCGGAAGAAGAAGAAGAAGCGGAGCCTTTGCTCCGAAAGGGGAAGAGAGCTGGCTCCCCCTTAGCTTCGGCCAGCAAAAGGGCCGATAAGGGAAAGAAGCAGGTGGGCGTCGATGATGAAGCCTGCGATGAAGTGGAGGTAGAGGAGGAGGCGGGGGAGAACGACCGGCTCCACCTCAACGAAGAGGGGCGCTACGTGGGCCCCGATGGGCGCCCACCCATCTTCCGGCCACGGCGGGCCGATGTGGGGCGAGTGAACATGAACTGCTCCCCCTTGGTCGCCGTTGACCGGGGATGTGCCATGGGCTTGGCCATTGCAGCGGCCAAGTCATGGCAGGTGCCTTCGGAGGTGAACAGCGATCACCATTTTGCCGAGCTAGCCCAAGTGGGCGCCAAGGTATGTGCTTTGCTTTGTACTTGTGTTTTCTGAAAGTGTAGAGAATTGCGTTTTTGTTTTTGCATAACTTGCTGAGCTATCACTTTCTGTTGCAGATCCTTCTTTTTGCTGAGAAGGGCGCCCGACGCCTCAACGAGGCCAAGCGGGAGGCACTCGAGGCGTCCTCTTCTATCGCGCAGTTGGAGCGGGACTTGGAGAACGCGAATGCTCGTCGTGAGCAGTTGGCCAAGGAGAGTGAGGACGCCCAGCTGAACGCGACCATGGAAGTGTCGCGACTTCAGGGCGCCCTGGAGGAGGAGGGCACGAAATTGGCTGACCTGCAAGCTGAGAAGGAAGCGTTGGCGCAGGAAGCCGGAGCCCAGGCCAGCGAGATTGACATCCTCAAGGAGGAGAAGAAGAGGCTGCAGGACGCCCACAAGGAGACCAAGAAATCCTTGAAGGAGGCCCGGAAAGAAATTTCTGGGCTGCGGCAGTCTTTGGACAACTTTGAGGAGTCCGAAACTGGGAAGGCCATGTGCGCCAATGCCATTCTTGCTGGCCTTGAGATTTTGCGGGGAAAGCTGCAGAAGGATCACCCCGACCTTACTTGGGATCTCCCAGAGATGGCTGAGTATGTGATCGGGGGGATGGAGACGCCTCGCGGAACAAGCGGGGCGCCCGAGCCATCTGTTCCTTCCCCTCCTTCTCCAGCGGCGCCCAGTGCCGGGGACGCAACCTCGGGCGCCGATTAGATTAGCAATCACTCTCTCTTGTATATTAATTTTCTTAACTTTCGTATGGTTATATAATATGAGAACGTTTGTTTTACTGCCAATCGTCTTTATGAGAATGTGTTTCTTAGTTTCGGGCGCAAAGTTGGGCGCATTCACGTTTTTCAGGAGGGCGCAATGTTAGGGCGCTTTATATAGTGTGGGCGCGAGGTGCGGCGCTTTAGTAAATTGAAGTTACCGGGCACGATGTTGGTGCAACACTTGCTATGCAAATCGATAAACCGGACACGAAATTACTATTGGGGCGCTAGAAGACTGGGCGCTTTAGTCACAATACGGCGCTATTTTTCGGGCGCTTTGGACACGATACAATCAGACGTACATACTTGCCTTAACACAAAACAAACAGTCCCGGAATTCCATCTCAAACCTATGCGTCATTTCCAGATGTGGCGCCCACCGAATAAGATCGCAGGTTTTGGGCATTCCACGTTCTTTTCACCGCACGACCATCAGTATGTTCCAACTTGAACGTGCTGGGCCCTACCGTCTCTCGCACTCGATATGGGCCTTTCCATTTTGGTGCCAGCTTTGCTTCACGGGCGTCTGGTTGGAAGTCCCGTTTTAAAACGAGGGCGCCTTCTGTGATCCCATGGGCGCGCATCTTTTTGTTGTAGTATCGGGCCACCTGTCTCTTCATTTTTTCCAGGCGGATCGCCGCTACCTCCCTCACTTCGTCCACCATGTCCAAGTCATCTGAACGCGCCTCATCATTGCCATGTGGGTCGTACTGGGCCACGCGGTAACTTGGTGTGTGGAGTTCGACCGGAATGACTGCATCGCTTCCATAGGTGAGGGCAAAGGGTGTTTCTCCCGTGGCTGTTTTGTAGGTGGTGCGATGTGCCCAGAGCACACTTGGCAGTTCTTCCACCCATCTTCCTTTGGCGCCTGCGAGTCGTGTGTGTAAGCCATGGAGAATGCTTTTGTTGGCCGCTTCTGCTTGACCATTCGCTTGTGGGTAGGCTACCGAAGAGAAACGCAGCACCACTCCATTGTCGTCACAAAACTCCACGAATTTTTTGCAGTCGAACTGTTTCCCGTGATCTGTGACAATGGATTCAGGCAAGCCAAATCGGGTGAAAATGTTCTTCCTGGTGAACTTGCGCACTTGGGCCTCCGTGACCGTCGCCAAAGGTTCCGCCTCTATCCACTTGGAAAAATAGTCAACCGCCACTATTAAGTACTTCATCTGACCGGGCGCCTTTGGGAAAGGGCCCAAAAGGTCCATACCCCACTGGGCGAATGGCCAGGCTCCTACGTTGCCTTGCATGGGCGCCGCCGGTATGTGGATGTCGTTCGCATGGATCTGGCATTGGTGGCAGGCGCCCACGTGTGCCTTCGCATCGCGCCTCATTGTCGGCCAGTATAACCCCTGTCGCAGCAGTGTCTTCTCCAAGCTTCGGGCGCCCGCATGCATTCCACAGGTCCCACCATGCACCTCCTCGATCGCTTGTCTGCTTTCTTCTTCGTTGAGGCACCTCAAATAAGTTCCTGTGTGGGATCGCTTGTACAATTGCCCCTCGATTATGGAACATCTGGCCGCTTTGCGGCGTAGGCGCCAGGCTTCCTTTTGATCGTCAGGTACCACTCCCTGCGTGAGAAACAAAATGATGGGCGCCATCCATCCTGA